CTCACCCTGTATGTATATTTCAGTGATATCACCATCCAAGCTGAAACTTTTTTCTATTCATATTTTATCATAAGGAGTTGATTCGCATATGAATCGATCCCGAAATCGAGGGCCGCAAAAGGGGCGAAAAACCCATCCTTTTTACAGTCACTCACTGAAAAAATTTCTGGTTGAATATGGACGAATCAGATAATTCCTTTAGGATTTACCAGAATTCCTGTAATCCTACAGAAATTCTGGTAAATCCTAAAGGAATTATCTGATTCGTCCATATTCAACCAGAAATTTTTTCAGTGCTCTTTCCTTCCCACCAATCCAACGCGTCAGAAATTCTGTTCCCTGTTCCTGTTGCCTGGCATTGTGTTTGGGCCTTGACAGGCGACTCCAGTAGTATATAGAAGTCTGTGGGTTCCGTGTGACGTGCGTAGACTTAATAAATAGGGGAGGGGGAGTGTAAACTTGGGAATAAACATGCTGCAAACGGATCACCATTTGTCCCTACACGATTTCCAGTTTCTCTGCATTCCACGACACACTTGGCCAGTCACAAACACTGGTCAGAAAAATATTATTTCAACATTCACCCATGGGCGATTTTTAGAAACATTACGAAAAGGTTTCCTACGAACATACGAATAACATCTTGGCATATATCAGAGAGGAACGTGTATGCCTAGCTCGGCGATTGTCCAGTCTTCGAATCAACCAACGAATTCGAGTGTTATTGTACATAAAGAAATTAATATTCGAGAAATCGGCACGAGACTGATTCTGACATAGACACAGACACGGCGAGGGACACAAAACCTTGACCGCAATCATAGGCTCCGAAAAGGAAACCTCACAATTTTAGCCTATTACAACATTGCCCCTCGCCGCGCTCCTTTTCCTCTGCAAAAGGATAATTTTGCCGTACAGTTAGCATCTTTTCGTGATGTAGGTCGGAAAGAAGCCGGAGTCAAGTTTGGCGTTCACTGCCCGTCGAACATCTCGAGCGCGTATCTTTGTACTCATATGCGAGGCCGCGCGTTATACGCAGCCACTCCCTGCCAGCTGGTAGGTTCTTTGTTCGCGCGTTCGTTGTGCAAGAACGGAGGGAAACGGCGCGCGCGGGGGGGACTTGTCAATGCCATCGGGTTGACTGTACATATGAGCGTGCGTTCTCATGCGGCGCGGCGCGGCTCGGCGTTCAGCGCGTACGTAATCGGACGACTTTAACGCGGCCGATCCCGTCCCGGTATTACACCGGCGCCGCCGGTCTCCAAAGAGCCGAAAGAAAGGGAAAGTCCGCCGTAGACCGGCCGCGAACTTTAGCGCTCTCAGTCCACGGAAAGCGAGCGCACGCCCGCTCGCGTCGCGCGAGTCATCTCGTAGTTAGCGCGAGCGTGGAGCAGCGGTGTAGTTGACCGAGTAGTAGAAGCGTGGAAAAAAAGAAACACCGAGTGCGTGCGTGCGTGCGAGCGTGCGTGCGTGCGTGCGTATGCCAACTCGCGAGAGGATAAGGGCGCATCGCGGCCTCGCGAATGCCGCGACGCGCAGCTTGGAAGCTGTCCGGGATAGCGGAAGGTAGGGTGGAGGATGCTTCTGTTTTCATTGTTCTTCCTCCACGCCGTGGACAACCGTGTCATTTGGCGAGGGCGGAGGGTGCCACCGCGTCCTGTTGGACCACGCGTGTCTCGTCGCCGAACGGTTTGCTCCGGGGCTCGATCGTGAATCTTTTCCTCTGGCGGGAACTCGTGAAAATTTTCACTGACGAATATTTCTTCAATGAAATTTTTTCACTCTTCACGAGTTCGCGCTAGAGGAAAGTGAAGGAAAGTGACCAAATTTCATTGAAGAAACATTCGTCAATGAAATTTTTCACTTTTCACGAGCTCGCGCTAGAGGAAAAGATTCATGATCGAGCGCCTGCTCAGAAATATCGAGTAGACTCCGGAAGAGAGGATTCGAGTTAAACGAAAGAAAAAAAAATTAAATTTAGCAATGTTGACCGAGCGAGACTGCGCCCAGATTCGTCTCTGAAATGCGCTCAATTGATCGTTTCTTCTTTTTAAACGCTCCGTGTTCGCCGTCGTAGCGTCGCGAGTCAACGCAGATCCGTTTGTCGCATACGGTATCTCTATTCGCGAGAACTGCATTGGTCCCAATCTCCCCTGGACACACACATTCCCGCGATAGATACTTGGAACAAGTAAAAGGTGATTTGACGTAAGCGGTTTACGAGCAACATAATAAGAGTGTTACGTCGTAACTTCACGAGTTATGGTGCTCGCACTTACAAACGTTTATAAAGGGGTTCCACGCGCGGGAATATTTACCATGCGGCTACTCCGTTTCCAATTATTCAGCTCAATCGAATCGCATAACGAATAAACGGCGGATAAGCAACAAGTATAAATAATACAGTGATGTATGGAAGCCGCCATCGTTCCCTCCCCACTTAATTGCTTGTCGGAGAGAGACGCATTGTCGGATGGACGAAAGGCGAGATGCGTACGGTATCACTTGGCCAGGCCTTAATAGACGCCCCAGTTTGAGAGGGAGGCGCGTTTACGTAATCCGCAATTAACAGAACCGGTGCGAAGCACAGGCCGCTTATCTTGTTACGCTTGATCATTGACATTACACCGCACACTTAGATTGCGTTACACGATGACGTCGCATCGAGCGCTAGTATTATACAGCGCTTATGCAATTGTGAAAATTTCACTTTTCTCGATGCAATATGTCCGGCGCATGCGAGCGACCGTGCTTCTCTTGATATTACGTGTGCATCGCAGAGATTGCAATCATTTTTCGCGTCGAGCCTTTTCCCATTCTCCTTACTCTCTTTCTTCTTTCTCTCGAGTCTCTCTCTCTCTCTCTCCCCCCCCCCCTCTCATTCAACATAGTTCTATCTCCGCTTGTATCTAGCATGGCTTCAGCTTGCCCAATAATCCTGTCGCGAGATAATCTACCATTTTTGCCACAAGGACGCTCGCGTAGTTTCGACAGAACGAGTAAAGACAAGAGAGAGAGAGAGAGAGAGAGAGAGAGAGAGAGAGAGAGAGAGAGAGAGGCCGCGAACTCGAGAGGAATTCACTTGTTATCGATATAAAATTTATCGACGGACGTCGCACGATGCGTTGTCGATTTATCCGCTCGGTTTTGCTTCTCTTTTTAATCGGCGTGAGAGAAAAAATACAGAAAGACATCAACGGATACCCGGTGCTTGTTGTTGAAAAAACGAATTCAGGGCAAGAGAGTGAATTTGCATAACTATTTTCGACGTTTTGTCGCGATACTTTGGCACCGTTACGCAATTATTACAGCCTGCGAAATCCTTGCATAATTAGCAATCAAAGTAGTGCACGCCGGTGGACTGACGTAACAAGTGGCACATCATTTTCTGCTACGTTTGGTTAGATAACACGGCGGCGTGCGTTTTAATTTGCCTTACAAATGTTACACAAACATAACTTTAATTAACCGCCATTTTGACCGTGCGAAAACATCCGCACGTGAGTTACGCAATTTACGCGTTCGCATTCGAATTATCATATACAGATGTCAGCGACGAAAGGTGATTTCACAATGCAATGTTTGCCTCGTTAGTTCTGGTAAGACAATTAAAGAGGGTCAAGCTCGTGTTTGCATACGCAAGATAAATAAGTCGTGAGGCTCTAAAAATCAATCAGTGGTGAATCACTGCGATTTTTAGTGATATACTTATAGCTGCACGTCAGTGACTATTTACTGTTTTCGGTGATAATCCACTGATTTTTAGAGAGTGGGTGTTTGAGAATCAAACGATACGTTTCTTCTGACAAATCGAAAAAAGACTTCAGGTAACATGCGGTTCGTACACATTTCTTAAACGTATCTAATACGTTTAGGAACCGTGTATGAAAAATTAATACGTCCTACTTGGGGAAGCGTCCCGCAAAATTTTCTTTTCCTTTCGGTTTGTTAGAACAAACATATTTGATTCTTGACCTCTAGTTTCGCTCGGTTATCGCCTCCAGCGCTTTTACATTCTTAATCGTCCTTCGTGGCGATACACACATGTCGTCGCAAAGATATATTACAAAAGGAAAGGAGCACGGAGTACTTGAAAAGGTTTTCTTTGCTTTCAGCGCATCCCTCGGAATGTACCGACGATGAAAGACCGAGTATGATCGGGGAGTGCGTTACCTTCGTAAAACCGGATAGCACGGAGCACTCGCGAGTGCCTCGCTCCCACTCGTGTTTTTACACTCGTGTGCTCGACCTCTTGACCGGCGGAGGATCATAATGCTAGAGCCGGTTCTGGGAACGTTGTCGATCTGGTGGTTGGTGGTGTACGCCAACATTTTGCTGCTCCTGTCGCCCTTGGTGTTGCTGATGATCGTCTTCCTCCCGAACTTCCCGATCTTGCTGCTGCGGCGAATCTGTTACATACCGATCGAGTCGATCTGACCGAAATTAAATCGCCGATCGGTTTGCCGCTCGGCGATTTATCGGATATGTCGCGTGTGCCAGGTGCGCGATCGCGCGATACGCGGCCGACGTTACGTTACCTTATCGCGGCGCGCACTTGGAACAAATTTATCACGTAGGTTGTACATAGTAAACGTTGCGTGCCGCTCGAGAACCATCAAAATGAGTGCTCGAGTGATCGCGAACTTTGGCGGTTTTGGTTGAGATTTCCGTTGCTCACGTAGTTTTCTAAGTATTTATGTGTCCTAGATCGTTGCGATTTATAATAGCCACGCGTTAAGCTCGTTCTACAATGGACGCAAAGCGCAAGGCGCTAAGCCGCAACACGAGAAATCGACCAATCACAGTCAAATGCGAGAAGAATGATCGACCGTCACTGGCCGATTTCTCGCGTTGCAGCGTCTTGCGTTTTGCGTCCATTGTAAAATAAGCTTTGAAACAATGGACGCAAGATGCCGATTGTAAGCCGCAGCGCAAGAAATCGGCCAATGGCAGTCGATCAATCTTCTAATATTTGACTGTGATTGGTCGATTTCTCGCGTTGCGGCTTAGCGTCTTGCGTCCATTGTAGAATAAGCTTTAAAGCTTTTAGTCTACATTGGACGCAAGACGCTAACTCGCAACGCGAGAAATCGGCCGACGACAGTCGATCATATATTCCTCTCATATCTGTCTGTGATTGGTCGGATTTCTCGCGTTGCGACTTAACGTCTTGCGTCTTGCGTCCATTGTAGAATAAGCTTTAAAGCTTTTATTCTACGATGGACGCGAAACGCAAGACGCTAACTCGCAACGCGAGAAATCGGCCGACGACAGTCGATCATTCTTCTCATATCTGTCTATGATTGATCGGATTTCTCGCGTTGCGGCTTAGCGTTTTGCGTTTCGCGTCCATTGTAGAACAAGTTTTAATACCGCCGTGCGTTCGCGTTGACGGGGACCGAGCTGAAGAGCTTGGTTTTGCTGTCGTGGCTGTCGGATGCATTGAAATAGGCGCGTACAAATAAAGAGTGGCGCGAGGCGTCACGATTATGCGCGGGACTCGCGTGTTTGCGCTTCTACGCGTATATGCTCAAGCGCGTCGACTCTCCGTGCTGTGCACGATGAATTCCAACGACACACCGCTCTTCTTGCTCCGCGTGCCGTGCGCGAGTGCGGCCGATACGCGCGCACACGGAATTTTTGGCGTTACGGTTTATATAAAGCGTCCTTATCGGCGTCTTGTCTCCCGCGTACTCGTACGTTAGCAATTATAACGGTGAACCCGTAACGGGACGCCTTTATCAAACAGGAGAAATCAAATTGCGGAATTTTATGTGGAACGCACGCGCACGTATGTCCTCCGAAGTTTCACTGAACTTCAGCCGAATGTAATTCGTGGACGGCTAATCGTGCCTGGACAGCCTATTGTGAAATAGCGTCGTACAAAACTGTTGTAGAAAATCGGTAATATCTCGCAATAAATCGGCATTACGCGCGCTGTGCGCGAGAGGATACATAATTATTGTGCGTTTTTAAATCTTGATAACGTACACCCCCTGTCGCACACATTTCCGCGTGTGTCGCTCGAGGACGAGTGCTCAAATGCACGTGGCAACTATCATAAAGGTCCGTAGTTAGAAGGCAAATTGAGATACCAAGGTGAACTACTTTGCGCGACGGACGAAATCGACGTGCATTATTATCGAGTTATTTATGAACGTAACTGGTGGCGCTGGAAGGGCGGATGATTGGTACGTGCCGCTTTGTCTTCCGATCGAATACCTCGCGGATAACAGCTCGGGAAAATTTAAGTCAGTATTCGTCGCTACGTCAGGAACGATCGACAATGATCCGCATAGATGTTAAGATATAGACTTTTCATTTGTTTTCTCACTCGTCCATGTGTAAATGTCAGCGATAGCTGAGGAATCTCGGAAATTTATACGCGATCGAAACGTAATCCAAAGTCCTGTCTCGTCTTCTCTACAGAGCCCGGCGTAGCGGTTGGCGCTTTGCGTTTCGCAAGTCCATTGTAGAATAAGCTTCAATACCACCGTGCGTTTGCGACGGGGACCGAGCTGAAGGGCTTGGTTTCGCAGTCGTGTGGCTGTTGGACGCATCGAAACAGGCGCGTACAAATGATCCGAACAAAAGTGCGTTTGGCACAGCTGTACCGGGGAGCAGCGCGTCTGTTATTCGGGCGTAAGATCACCCGGGTGTGCCGAAAAGCGACTCTCCTGGAAGACGTGTCCTCCCAGCGATCCTTCGCTCGCGCCCATTCGCGCCAGCGAAAGAGGCGTCTCGCAAACGGCGCTGTCCTTCTACAGTTCTACCGGTGATACAGGCTGGTCCGAAGTTGGACATTATAGTAGCGATCGGAGAGTACTTTCGCCGAGAGTCGCCCGTAGTGGGGGAGGTGGGACTTGAACCCTGGAACCCCATGGGCCATATATACTACGGGCCCATGCAGCGCTCTTGCTACTTGTGGTGTCAGCTTCTCGCGGATTCCCCGCCGTACAGGAAACGCGCAGGCGAGAGAAGCTGATAAGCGCGACGCGAAGGTGAGTACACGCGGGTAATCCGCTCCGCTAATCGTAACTCCGCTAGGACCGGGGGGCGGGGGGGACGAGCCGATTCGACAAGGCGAACGTGACCGTGGGGCCTGTCGGATGTAGGAAGTGATATGTGCAAACGGCGCCGCGATGCCGCGAATGCTGATGAGAGGTGATTCACTGGTGCAATGTCACGCGTCTCCCGTCATCTCCCGCTGACAGGCTCGCCACGTCGCGAAACCGACAGGCTTTAGTCATACCTTTCAACCCTTTCCGCCCGACGTCTATTTCCTGTTGACTTTGCGCGGCTGTAGAGAGTCTTCTCGGCACCACGGTTGGTCCAATATGTACCTTTACGGCATAGCGGAATACAAATCGGCAAAATATTTTTCTCGTGACGTGGGAAGAGAAGCTGAAAATTTTGCGCGTCGGCTCCTTCGTTTTAAAACGTCATTTGCACAGTAACCTTTTATATTTCTCGCGGAAAAAGTACGGTATCGCCGATAGCAGGTGTGACGCAACGGGACTGAGATTAACGCTCGGTATAATATCGCGTTTCGCTCCGTAACGCTTCGCCAGCTACATCGTTCTGGGAGCTTGAACTTCAAACACGATAGGAATTCAGATGCGATAATTCAATCTCGAGTACACGCCTATGAGCACGGCCGGGGTAACATTCCGTGCACGTGTCTTTCGTGAGTCGTTTGTATGCGGCGTTTTGCGCGCTCACACGCGAGGGGCACTTGCGCCACCGGTTACTTTTCCAGAAACAATAATGGTGCCAGCTACTTCCACGCTGCCATCTTCTCTTCGATATTAT